TCAAAGTTTCTTCTGACATCCATTGTGGTCTTTTCTTCCTCTTCTGTCTTTGTAATGAACGTTTTAACTCTTCTTGGATGATACCCTTAATATCCTCCCACAACTCATCTGGTCTTTGCTCATTAGTGTTCAAGGCCTCAAACCTGTTCCTGAGATGATTCTGAAATTCAGGTAAGATGAAATCAAAGTAATATTTTGGCTCCTGTGGATTCGGTTTAGTTTTCCTCAGCTTCAGCTTGAACTTGCATGTGAGTAGTTGGTGATCTGTTCTACAGTCAGCTCCTGGCCTAGTTTTCACGGCTGATACTGAGCTTCTCCAGCCGTTTTTTTTCTGCAGATGTAATCGATCTGATTCCTATGCATACCATCAGGTGAAATCCATGTGTATAATCTGCGTTTATGTTTCTTATAAAACATATTTGCAATGAATAAGTCATTGATTGTACAAAATTCAATCATTCTATCTCCAGCTTCATTTCTGTCCCCAAGTCCGTGTTTTCCAACTACTGAGTCTTCTTCTCTGTTCCTAACTTTTGCATTCCAGTCACCCATTATTATCAGTGCATCTTGATTGCATGTTCAATCGATCTCTGACTGTAGAAGTTGGTAGAAATCATCTATTTTTTCTTCTTTGGCTCTGGTTGTTGGTGCATATATCTGAATGATAGTGGTATTCACTGGACTTCCTTGTAAGCATATGGATATAATCCTATTCCTCACAATGTTGTACTTCAAGATGGATCTAGAAATTACTTTTTTAACTATGAAAGCAACCCCATTTTTCCTCACCTTTTCATCTCTGGAGTAATATATTATATGATCATTTGACTCAAAATGCCCCATGCCAGTCCATCTCATCTCTCCAATGCCTAGTATGTCAATATTTATGCAGAGTGTGGCATCAGGATTGGTGGAAGATCTACTAACAATCTGCGTTATGCAGATGACACAATCCTGCTTGCCGAAACTGAGGAGGACCTCATGCACTCGCTGCAGAGGGTCAAGGGCTGCAGCCTTCAGTATGGACTGAGGCTCAATGTCAAGAAGACAAAGATTCTCACCACTGGACCAATCGGTAGCATCAGGATAGATGGCGAAGAGATTGAGATTGTTCACAGCTTCAGTTTGCTCAGCTCCACGGTCAACACTCTTGGCACCAGCAGCCAGGAAATGAAAAAACATATTGCGATGGGAAAGTCTGCTGTTAGGGACCTCTCTAAAGTACTCAAGAGTAATGGTGTCTCTCTGGAGACTAAGGTGCGCCTGATACAGGCCATGGTCTTTGCAATCACTTGTTATGCATCAGAGAGTTGGATTTATTATTATTATTAAATTTTATTAATTTTAATAGGGAGGACAGAAGGAGAATTGATGCCTTTGAGCTGTGGTGCTGGAGAAGAGTATTGAATGTACCATGGACTGCCAAGAAAACAAACAGATTCATCCTGGAGAGGGTTAAACCAAGCTACTCCTTGGAGGCAAGGATTCTGGGGCTTCGTCTGAAATACTTTGGGCATGTTGCAAGGAGGGACAGGTCCTTAGAGAGGGACATCATGCTTGGGAGGGTGGAGGGATGGTGCAGAAGGGGAAGACCCTCTATGAGATGGATTGATTCAGTGACTGGGGTAATCGGGATGGGTGTGTCAGAGGCAGTGAGATTGGCACAGGACAGAGCACGGTTTAGGGCTGTTGTACATAGGGTCTCTATGAGCCGCAAACGACTCGACGGCACATAATAACAACAACATCAATTGTTGGTGGAAGGGGAAAATTTTTCTTCAAGGAAATATAACTTTATGTTAAATATGTCAATATAGCCTCTAAGAATCAATGAAATAAACTGATATGTGGCTAAACCAATGCACTCTAATATAATAAGGATTTTGAGATGGCACAGGGCTGCACAGCATTTCCTTCTGCGGTAGGACAGACTGAACAGCACCTAACAACTATTCTCAAATATATACATATATATTTCCCCTCAATACTTCTACCTCTGTAAATTTACAAAAAATATGTTCTTGTTATTTATCAGAGCTGTGTCTAAAGGCTTAAGCTACGAGGTATTCCTTATGTGCTTGTATTTTATAGAAAAGAACTTAGAAACAACCTGAAATTCAAAATATAAATTGACTAAATTATGGCATGGCTTTGCAACTTAATACTAGGATACCAGTAAAAATTTTATTGTGGAAGTTTCTTTTTTCCAAAATCCTCTCAGACCATTCTGTAATCTCTCCCAATAGCCCAGTGACATAGACAGCTCATTTTACAGATGAGGAACCTGTGATTCCAACTCTACCAGGAACTCAAAAAAATGATTTCTTGATTCCAGGTCTTTTGGGGATTCTATTATGTCTCATGTTTATAAGCTTTTTAAGAGGCATAAATATGTGATGGGTTTCTTAAGCTGAAAACATTACTAATATAAATTTAAATCCACTTTTAATGTAATATATTTCACATTGAAAACATGAATTTTTATACATTATCCAGTTGAACTACAAGCTTGCAAATCATAAATACATGTTAAACGACTAGACTAAAATTACCCTCAGGAAGTTTATACTGTTCAGAGAAGTTAATGCATGAATTCTAGTACATGTTCCTTTAGACAATTCTGCAGTAAGTTTTTTTGTTGTTTTTCAGTTTGAGAGCAAACCTTAAAAAAGTATAATAACTCTGTATATTTTTGTGTCTTTCCTATTTCCATAAATCCTAATGACAAAATAATGAGATGATTAAATGTAAGCACTCTGATGGCCAGCCTCTGGAGCTTTCTTTTAAAAATCAGGTATATACTATTTTCAGTATCTTTAAGTAATAACTCATTGAGAATTCTGAGCTAAGATTTTAATTCTATTTCATCTCCATATTTTAGTGACGATCCACATATTCTTAGATTCTCTGAAGACATATTTTAAATGCATGTAAATTCTAAGACTTAGGAATCAAAATTCACCAAATATCCCAAAACCAGAAAGAGCTGAAATCAGTCTTTACACATTTCCATTTTTCAGAATGGGTGAAACCTAAGGGTTACACTTTAAGCATTCATGTTAGCGTTCTTTAATCATACAGTGATTTTAAATACTATCATTTTAAAGTTCAGAAACTATGATTCTTTGCCATGACTTATGTTGTATAAAATAAACAGATGCAACATGCACAATTTGCTAGAATTCTACTCTATTATGGTTTACTTGCAACCAGACTGGACTAAGTATAAACTTGTTACTCAACATTTCAAATTATCTTGTAACCAAATGGACAAACTATAAACTTGTTAATCAATATTTCAAATCCTTTAGATCAATTGATTTTATTATCAAATACCTTCCTTATAGACACCAAGGGAGCCCTGGCTGTCTAATAGGTAAGGAGTTGCGCTGCCAACAAGAAGGTAGGTCGTTCAAATCCACTAGCGGCTTCGTGGGGAAAAGATGGGTAATCTTCTCTGAAATGGCTTACAACCTCTGAAAATGCACTTGAGGGTCAGCTATTAGTCAGTTCTGAATGACAACAATGAGTGAGTGAATGATCAAAACTTTCAAGTAATATAAAATCTAAATTAGAATTAATTCCTCTTTACAGACCTTTTTCCTGGGGTAACATCAAATAGATTTTTTAACATTTTTTATCATTTTTTTGGAAGTCAAAAGGGATTAAGAGAGCTGATTATTTTTTAAGAAAGCATGTTAAATGCTATAAAGTTTGTCTTAATGTGGAAAAAGTTAAAGGCTTTTTTTCTTTTAAGTAACTAGCTAAGATTGTAATGATGGGCTTAGGCATATCAGATGGCGAGGATGGTAGAGGACAGAGCAAGGTTCAGATCTATTGTCCATAGTGTCACTATGAGTGGCAGTTAAGTCAATGGCACCTAACAATAACAACAAGCCTGGACGACTGAGCAATAGCATTCTTGGAAAAGGAAGCTGATGAAGTATAACAATCAAGTAAGTCTCAGTTCCTCTTTGGACCTGTTGAATTTGAGATATGTGGCAGGACTGTCACATTACAAAACCCTATTCCATTTTCTGTCCTTTCCCCTCTGTCCATTCTCATTACTGTCCCTCTCATTAACAGTCTGCCTTACATCATAGAAGTGAAGTCGTCAACACTGCTTTTCCAGCTTAAACCTGTGCTCCTCTCATCTGTCTCTGCTGAAAGTAATAGCACTTTGAAAACTCAAGACAGTCCCACCACAATCTCTGGTACAGAGTCTTGTATCAATTTGCCTTTGCTCCCATGGTTAGAACAGATATTTAACAAAAAACAGCCTCATGCAAAGCCACAGAGGGAAGCTTCAAGGAGGAAGATCACTTGGAAAGGGGCTCTTTCTACCTGCAGATAAATGTCCTCAATAATTGCAAAATAATGTTATCAATTTTAAGAATTTATAATCATAAATTTTTAGCCTGCTTTAAAGGATTATACCCCAATAAATCTTTCCAGTCTTGACAAAACAAAACACTGCTATCGAATTGATTCCAACTCATAGCAAACCTCCATCAGCCTGTAAATTATTAAAGGAGAACACAGTCCAGGGTTCTCCCAGGAAATGACTGGTGGAGTCAACTTTTCAGTTAGCCCATTTACACTATGCCACCAGGGCTTTTCATATTTCCCTACACAACATTACACATTAAACTGGGCTATTTACTCTTCACTGGGTACAAGGTCTTTTAAACTTTTGTTCACATTAGCAACATTAATAGTTGTTATCCTACTAAATGCAGGCATATAGGTATGATTGAGCTTAGATGATTCAGACACTAATATGGACCAGCTCCATTATCAGGTACTCATCAAGGTATTTCAAGTGATCATAAAGGTCATTCTACTCAAGAGAGACTGGGGAAACAGAATCAGACTGGGTTTAGATCCATTTGTTAGGTCAAATGACTTCACTATAAAAATGTATGACCTGCAAATTATACAGTATGTAAGTTCAACCCAAACATAAAGCTGTCACCAAGAAAAGGGGGTATATTTCTGACAGAATAGGTAAAATTTTCAAAAAATAGTGATCCATTAATGATTGGAATATTGAATAATTTATAGCTGAGAGCCGCTGTCCTTTTTGCCCACTCCATCATCAGGTCTTCAAGAAAAGCAGAAGTTGCCCCTCCAGGGCTCTGAAATGATGTTCCAATGCCTCTGGATCAGGACAGGGACTGTCAGAGGCTTGGCTGCCTGGTGATCTTAGCAAGGGAGTCACTGACAACATCGAGGTCATACCGCAGCTCATTCACAGCGTTGGTTATGCTCTTGACATCTTTCAAGATCTGAATACTCCGTGTGTATGGATTGTACTTTACTCCAAAGGGACGCTTGATTGTCTTGGTAAACTCTCTATTAAAGAAAACAAGAGGCAGTCAATTTCTAGGCAAATAAACAGCAGCAACCCTATTTCACAGACTTGGAAAATGACAACTCTTCAAGAAATGTATATGAACTCAATCTGATCTATCAACTGCCCCTAACTTCATGTGGATAGGCGTGTGGAATAGGTGGAAAGCCTAAAGAAGCCATGAACATATCTGCCCCTGCATTACTAGGGAATTATCATGTAGCTAGCCTTGTTAGTGTTTTATTACTCTACGTCTCATATCTTGATTGGAGTTTGGAGACTATGACAAATTTAACCACATCATTCTAGATCCTTCAATTATGATTTACATACAGACAAACAGACAAGGAACAGTCCTGCCTCCAACACAGATATATTCTTTCCTCTTGGAATATTTTCCTTTAGCTGCCTCTCAAATGATCTAGTTTACCCTTTTTCCAAGCATTACAAGAAGTTTGCCTCTTTTAACAAGCTAACATTTGAACCTCTTATTTGGCACTTCTCAGGGACAATTATGTTCAGGGCCCCTAGGGATAACTAAGGACAACTGTTCATTAGTATGGGCTGAAATCCAGTTGGCAATCTACTTTGTTGACACAGTTGTGGTGGCATTATTTCTAGGTGCTGTCACATGAGCTCCAGCTCATAATGAACTAGGTACAACAGAAGGGATCTCCGGCTGACCCTGCATCATCCTCACAATCTCTATCGTTCTTCAGTCCAGTCTTGCAAACACAGTCAGTCAACCTGCCTTGTAGAGGGCCGTCCTCTTGTTCACATCTTTGTCAAGAATGATATCCTCATGGACTGGCCCCTCTTGATAACAAGGCCACAGTTTGTGCACTAAGTCTCACTATCCTTGCTTCTAACGAACACTCTGGCTGCACTCCTTCCCTTTTTGCTAATTTGCCCCAAGCTGCCGTCTGTTCTACAGGAAGTTCTGCTGTCACTTGCTTCTATGCATGTCCTAACTCTCTCAACTAACAGCACATTAGACAAAGTGTGTGTCCTCAACCCCTGTTTCCACCTTTACAAAGTGACCTCCAGGTCCCTTTCCCCAATTGTTGATTTGCTTCTGTGGTTCTCTCCTTTCCTACTACCTCTATCTTCCTAAAGTACTAGAATAATTTTTCAAGTTTCTGTGCCTCCAATATCCTCCTTTATTAAGCAAACACTTAGCTGATTAATAGCAAGGCTAACTTTGGTTGTTTCACCTATAAGCTCTATATTTTCCATCTTCTTACCTTTCTCATGCTGTTTCTCAGCCAAAAACTCAACATACATAAATCTCATATACCCTTCAAGTCCTTCACAAATGTCATTAAGCTTTCTCTGTGCCTCCAGATGAAGCCGACAGTTCCTGATAAGATGTACAACTATGTTTCATCTGTGACTCTCTAAAGCTCTTATTACTTCTTTCCCTTCTGTCAGTCAATTTATAACAAACTGTTACAGAATAAGTTATGTATATTTTATTTTTCCACTGGACTACAAACTCTCTGATGGAAAGTAACAGAAACAAATTCTTCAAGGATCTACATCTGGTTGATATTTGTAACCACCTCAAATCATTATACATAAAATATCCTGAATACTTGTGAAAGGAAGCACTAGTGAGGGCAGAAGGCTTCTAGAACTGCTTGCTTCCATGATTTGTTACCATCATTCCACCCACCCTTCGCAGATGAAAAGATATACTTCACCTCATCTTCTCCTTGGCATCTTCAAAGTTTTCTGATACAAAGTAGACATCTTGGAAGGTTGTGATGAGGCACTCTTGTTTGCAGGTAATCTTGGGATCAAAGGGTTTTACTTTGGCATGTCCAGAAAGTGCATGCTAGAGGGCAAAGAGATGGTGAATTAAATATTATGGTCCTGGATCACATGCCAGGATCATCAGAGTGGGGATTAACTCTGAATATGTTACAACACACAAGGGGCTCCGGCGGCATAGTCCTGCACTGCTAAGTAGTCCTGTACTGCTAATTAAAAGATCAATGACTCTAATCCAGCAGATGCTCCAAACGGAGAAAGACTGGCAGTCTTGTCTCCTGAAAGTTCACAGCCTCAGAAACCTGATTGAAGGTTATTACTTTGACCTGAAGATAATGACTTGGCGGGTGAGTTTACTAGGTGGACTGTGTTACCAGTGAAATGGAATCAATCTACAACTGGCTTGACCCTCCCCCAAAATACACCGAGATAATTGTTATGACTTTATTCAAAGTCTCTTCCCCATTTAAGATGCACTTAGGGCTGTATATACCATTGAATTTTGGAGTACATTGCTGGTTTCTGCACTGGGCCACCTGCTTTCTATCCTCCATCAGGTGTATGTGATTTAGACCCAGTTCCAGTTGGTCAGCTCTCAAGTGCAAGTCAGAATCTTGGATACTGTTCAGCACACATTTGTCCATCAACAAATCTAAGTTAATTCATTCACTTGGAAAGCTATAAATGTCCATTTTCTAGAAATTATAGGCATTATTGCTAGTGTGCTGGGGATGGTGAGGAAGTAGCAAGACTTTTTAAATACTTGTTTTGTTATTATAAAACATAAGTATATGTTTGATCAGCACACTTAGGAAATAGAGAAAATTTCTCAAATAATGATTACTACTGTCTGTGTATTTTCCAGAGCAAGCTCTTATTCAAAGCCAAGAAATATTTCAAATTATGTTAGATGAATCTGGTTATGTGCTGTGGTACCATGAATTAAGTAATATGACCTTTCCATCCTAGATTGCCATTTTGTGATTATAGCCCCTTTGTCTGCACTTAAGATCTCATTTGTTGCTGTTGCCATTGAGTTGAAACCCACCCATAGCTGACCTTCCAGTGTATTTTCAGAGGCAGTTGTTCACATTGGAGGAGAGTGCCCATCTTTCTCCTCCAGCAGCTGGCAGTTTGAACTGCATACCTTTGAGGTAGTGCAATTCCTTACTACTAAGCCACTCGAGCTCTTTGAAGATCTCATTTAAGAATGAGTTATTTATTGTATTAAGGAGATAGGATTAGCATGCAATACAAGCACCACCTTTGGTTCTCCTGAGGATGTGGTTTACAGGCCTGAGATCTAGGAAATGCTTCTGGAAAAGTAAAGGCTTTTTCACTTCGACACTACATCTAAACTCATCTATTTGTTCCGACAGCCAGCAGCTTCAGCCTGCAGGTTCCTGGCCCATCCTTCACTATTCTTTGCAACCATGTACACTGGCCTACACCATCTACAATAACATGAGCCATTTCCCTGACTTTTTCATTTTTTTCTTTTATTTATTTTTTTTTTTTAGGTTTGGTGAACAGCTAACTTTATTCTACAAGCAATGGAGACTACATGCAGGTTTTTAAAATATATTTTTTTCTCTTCAAACTTTTTTTTTGGATTAATAATTTCTATTTATTGGAATGTAAAAAGTGGAAAGAACAAAGAAGGATTGATAGTTGGAAAATACGACCTTCATGATTAAAACAACTCTAGGACAACACATGATAGCATTTTCTATGACTAGGCCATGGTCTTTCTGATCACTTGCTATGCATCTGGTGGACAATAAGGATTACAGAAGAATTGATGCCTTTGAGCTGTGGTGCTGAATCTTCAAACTTTTAAAACATATGCATTATAGAAAATGGAAAAGCAGAGATCACAAAAGCCTCCATAACCACCTTGATGATTAGTTAATGGCCTTTTACGTTTGATGTGTATATACACACAACCAAGTATACATTTTTTTTATCTGGTTGAGACCACACATTATGGGTTCATGCTTTTCATGCATCGCAAGTATCTAGGAATTCAAAGTCCCAAAGCCATGAATATTTTGACAACCAAGAATACACTACACTGATTCAATCAGGAAAGACAAAAAAAGCAGTCAGCCTTTCATGGGGACAAAAATTTTATAAAGACAGAAAATGGAGCACACCTCTAGATACTGGCAGAACTGCAATTAAAATACCGCATTCCTTTAATGCATAATTTAATAAAACATAAAGCAATAGAGTATGCTTCTAAGATAGCTATCAGATCTCTAGTAAAGTTTAACAATATGGTCCTACAATATTGACAAGAGATGTACACATGTATCATGGTTACTATAAAAATGCAAATAAGAACACAAGTGCACACATGCCTCGTCTCACCTGTCTTTCTTCCCCTCTGCAGCCAACTAATCAACCTGGATGGACACTACTCAGAGGTGGTATAGCAATTCCATGACCAAGAGCTTTCCTATTATAGTAAAGATATTCACAAATTGCTTAACTCACTACCACTACTTTGTATCATACAATGTCACCTCAACACAGCTAAGAAGCTTAGATGCTGCAGATTTTTTCATTTCTATGAGACCTTTCAGAGCTCTGGGGCTTAGTGGTAAGGAGCTGTGCCACCAACACAAAGACGCATGGTTCAAATCCACCAGCTGCTCCATGGGAGATCGATAGAAAATCTCCTCCTGTTCAATTACTGCCTCTGAAAACCCACTGGAAGGTCAGCTATGGGTCAGTTCTGAATCAATGGTACATTATAACAACAACATAAGACTTTCCGGTGAATTACAGAACCCAAAGACATCAATGGAAATGAAAGGGCTGAAGGCAGGAAGAATAATCAGTGTCAGAGATGACAAAGTAGTGCAGCAGTTTGGACATCTAGAACATTGTTAACCTCCATCTTACAGGAATCAGTCTTCCTAGTCATTATAAAGGAAATGATACATGAGTGTGCAAAGATTTACAATGCTTACTTTGAGTTCACTGATAGAAGAAAGCAAGCCAGCACCAAAGACTCGTAGCTGCCCATCTTGTTTACACAGCCCAAACTCCACAGTGAAGAAATAACACTGTAAAAGAAGATCAACATGACTCTCACATCCTGAACAACTTCATCTAAAACAAACTACCATCTTTAATCACTGCTCCCAAACAAAAAAACTCATTACCATCATTATCATGACCAGCAAGTCAGTTCTGATTCAGAGTAACCCTTAGTCAGATTTCCAAGACTTCCCATCTTTCTCCTGACTACCCCAAAGGACTCCAGAATAAACTCCAAGATCCCTAACTTGACAAACAACTTTCCCCACAATTTTACTTCATTCTCAAGCAGTGGTTCTCATGTTTTCATTCCTGGGGTTGTTTTAAAACCATCAAAGACTTCTAAGACCTTTGACTTTTGTTTTGTGGGCTCTATCCAGCTATATTTGCCATATAAGAAATACTAAAAATTTGGAAGATATTTATTAGTTAAAGTAACAATCATGAACCCGTTTATGGCAGCATAATAACATCCTAATGAAAAAGAACAATGCTTGCTCTTAAAAAAAGAAAGTAGCATTGCCTTTTAATATTGTCAATCTCTACCAGAAAACTCTAGAGGTGAAGTCTAAGGGGGTTGCACTGCCAGCCCAAAGACAGTGCCTCTCAGACAGTTGGAATCCACCAGCGACTCCTGGGGAGAAAGATGGATTATATCTTCTCACTCAATTTGCAGCCCCAGAAACCCATTGGAGGGTCAGTTATGAGTCAATTCTGACTACACAGCAATGAGTATATGGGATTTTTTTTTATATCTTGCATAATGGAAGACAGATTTTTATATCTGTTTCAGAACTTAACCTACTGTAATATACTGTTTTGCTTAAAGCATATGAAAAAAATTCAGCTTCACATAAATATTCAGTTGGAAATGGTCAGAGATCTTTAACAGTCTCTTCAGAGAATTTGTGAATATTCTTTGACACTAGATAGAAATTTGGCAGTTGGTAGTTTTTTAAACTTATGGCATCTGAAACCATATTAATGAACGCTGTTCCATTCAAATCCGCTAGTCCTGTGACACAGTGTTTCATCACTCATTTGCTAACCAAAAGATGCCAACCTCTCAAACATGCCAGCCTCTCTCCAGATGCAGTCTGATTCTGTAAAGATTAAAGCCTTGGAAACCCTATGGGGCATTTCTAACTCACAGAGTTGCTATGAATTGAAATCTACTCAAAGGTAACTTGTTTTTCAGTTGATCTCACACTTGGATTAGATCCTTTTTCTCTGCACGGTGTTGACCTTAAGACCCATTAGGGGCTTCCAGAGATGTCAGGAGGCCCCACAGCACATTTTGAGAAGTTCTGTTACACACCACCTGGCCCTATTTCACACGACCTCTCCCACCTTCACACTTTGCTCCAGCTTCTCACTGTGCTTCCAGATGTACCAAACACCTTCTCATCCCCCACCCACCCCAGCCTTCTGTATCCTCATCCTGACACGCAATTCCTTCCTTTCTTGGCACATGAAAACATGACTCCACTTTGAAGCCTTAGACCAGATTCTCCTCTTTCATGATCCCTTTCCTAGCACCTTCACTAGCAGCCCTTCTCAGAACATTTGGCCCAGACTTCCCATAGATGCCTCCTAAGAGAAGGGTGAACTCCTTGACAGCACACACCAGCCTTGCTCATCTCTGTATCTCCAGCTTACTGTCCTGTTCTCAGTGCACAAAAACCATTTTAGCAGCCCCATCATTTTTACTGGAAAATAAAATACATATAAATTATTAACCTTATTATAGTCCTGTTATTTCCTACCTTTTAAAAAAGCTATCTTTTTCTTAATAAATGTTAAAGTTTTATATACTCCTTTATTGAAACAAAGACATTTTAATGGTAATATTTCATATATGCTTTCAAATTACAGCTGTTCTCATCCTCTTCCACCCCACTTGAAAATTACTCATCTACACAGCTCTTTCTAGATTTTAATACCGTTGCCAGTTTTTGAACAGCCTCCTCTGAAGCACCCAGGGATGCCAGGCCAATTTCTTGGGAGAATTGGGCAAAACTGGGTTCAGCCAATAGTGGAACATGGCCTAAGAGTTCATGGCAGGTGTCTCTAGAAAAAAGAGGGACAAGACTTTCACATCGTGATGTTTAAAATGCATACTTACTCAATCCTGAATTTTAAAAATATCAAAATCTGATCTTATTTTTATTCTAATTTATTATATGGGTATTACTTTGGTAATGGATCACAAAGGACACTAATCAAATTAAGAAATTATCCTGGCCCAAGAATTTTATTGCTGTTGTTAGGTGCCATCGAGTCAGGTATGACCCATAGTGACCCTATGAACAAAAGATCTGATTGAACTGTGGTCTCACAGATATATACATATATGCTCTATATACATATACAGACCAGATCTCCCCTGAGGTCACATGACTCCTTCCCATTCCAACCTGGTCTCTGTTCAGAAGTCACCTTCACAGAGTAATCTTTCTTTTCTAGATAGCAGCATGCCAAACACATCTCCATTTCCTTTCATCATTGCTCTATGATAGTCACGATCATCTGACGTATTAAATGCTTACTTGCTTGTTGATAATTAAGTATCCCACAGTAGAATGTAGCTCCATAAAAGCAGACTTTGTAGAGCTGCATCCCCTATGCCTAGAATAGTACCCGGGACCTATGAGGTTGTCAGGTAACAATAGCCCTGGACGCTGCAAATGGTTAGTTTGTTCAACTGCTAATAGAAAGCTTGATGGTTTGCATCTACCCAGAGGCAACTCAGGTGAAAGTCCTGAAGAAATACCTCTGGAAAATCAGCAATTAAAAATCTTATGAAGACATGACTGAGAAGGCATGATAGCAACTTGCTGACAATTACAGAGCACACATTGCATGTGCCAGGCATGGCTCTGATTGCTATGCATGTGTTAATTCGCTTATCCTCACAAAAACTCCTTGCCATTATTCTAAATGACAAAAGGATGAATGACTAAAGTAGAAATACTTACGGCTCTGGTGTGTAGAAAGGATCTGAACTGTGTCTCACATACTGAGTGCAGTGAAAAACTCGAAAAGCTAAACCAGATAGGAAATCTCTTGGGGATAGGTAGCCAGCTACAGGACGGATGGAAAAACCAGTGCGCTCTGCAAAGCAAAGGAGAAAACGTAGGGAAAATTTCACCAGACTTAACAGTCCATAACAACAACATGTAGTAAATGACAGCAACATTTTAATTTCATATTTTAATTCTACCAGGGACACCACATAAGACTTGTGGGGGAAACACGGAGACAATGACTTATAATGGATGTATTCAGGAGAACTAATACTCGATAAAAGGTGCTGGTGGCTCAGAGGTAAGGAATTGAGCTGCCATTACTGCTCCACAGGAGAAAGACTGGCAATCTCCTCCTGTGCAATTTACTGCCTCTGAAAATCTACTCAAGGGTCAGCCATGGGTCTGTTCTGACTCTCGGGTACTCAACCACAATACTTAAATAAGCACTTTCACAGGTCAGGAAATGTTCTATTTTACATAGTGTTATGGAATTCATTTATCCCCCCCAAAAGATATGCTTAAGTTCTAAGCACAATAATGAATGTGGCACTATTTGGGGAAATAGAGATTTTCTTTACAGATGTTGTTGTTGTTGTTGTTATGTGCCATTCAGTCACTTGCAATTCACAGTGAACCTATGTACAACAGCTCTGAATCCTGCTCTGTCCTGAGCCAACCTCATCGTCTTTGACACACCTAGCCCCATGACCCCAGTCACTAAGTCAACCCAGTCTCATTGAGGGTCTCCCTCTCTTTCTCCATCCCTAGCATAATTTCTCTCTCCCAGGACTGGTCTTTCCTTGCAACATGTCCAAAGTATGTCAGACAGAGCTTCAGAATCCTAGATGTATATCAGCTTAATTAATATCTTCATACAGGAGCACAGTAGGACCTAATCCCTCTGTACAGTGTCTTATTATAGAGAGAGCTTCACAAGGAGAAGACAGATGCCAAGTGGCCATGAAAGCCACAGCCAGCACAGAAACGCCAAGGATTTCCAGCAGCCACACAATTTAGGAGAGAGCATCTCAAAAACTGTTTCTGAGAGTTTCTTTCAAAATGCCTTCAGCAGGTATTATTGTGGTCAATATCCTGATTTAGATTATCTGCTTCCAAAATTGCGAGAAAGTAAGCTTCTTGACTTTAAAAAACAAACAAAAAAAACCCCACAACTTTTCTGGGGGTGAAAGTTTATAGAGCAAGTTGTTTTTTCATATATCAATTCATACATTTTGTTTCAATACCTTGACTACATTCCCCACAATGTAAGCATTTTTCCTGTTTCCATCCGTCCATCCTCTCCTATCCCTTCCTGCCCTCTACACTTTATCTCTGGGAAAATTCTGCCCTTCTGAGCCTATTAGTGCATATCTCCTTGGGGTCACTGTTCACCTTATAGACATATATGTTGTTTGAAATTTCAGCCATGGTAATGAGTTCAGTTCAAGGCCTGCAGGGTGTCTAAAGTCTGTAGTCTCGGGGGTTCCGCTATTCATTTTCAAACTGGTAATCCCAGTCTTTTTCATTATTTTGAGTTTCACTCCATATTGCTCTCCTACTCTTTCCAGGACCTCCAATTATGCTCCCTTTCAGAGTGACTGGAGTGGTAGCCAGGCACCATCTAATTTTTCTGTTCTTAGAGTTGTGAAGGATTTTATGTTCTCTGAAGTCACTTGTTTTATAGCATTTTGTCATGGCAGCCCTAGGAAATAAAGATATATTCCATCTCCTTGCATGTTTACAATATGAGTAATACTTATTTTCCTTATTGTGACTCAACTATAAAACCAAGGCTTAAGAGAATCAATAATGTTCTCAAAGCTGCACCATCTCATCTCATTGCCATCCAATTGGAACTGACTCATAGTTGACCTTCCAGTGGATTTTCATAGGCAATAACTCTCAGGGGAAGAGATTGGCCCATATTTCTCCCACAGAACAGCTCGTGAATTCAAACCACTTGCCTTTGACTTGGTAGCACAACTCCTTACTACTAAGCCATCAAAACACAATAAAGTTATGTAGCAGATGATAACAGTAGGATGAGAGCCCAGGTTTCCACATTTACAAATGGCTTTTTTTTTTTCAAAATCCATTTCCAGGGAGTTCTACTGGCCTCGTGGGTAAGGAGATTGCACTGCCAACCCAAAGGCAGGTGGTGTGAGGACTCTTCAGGAGAAAGATGGAAAGTCTCCTCCTGTGTGATTCACAGCCTCTGAGAACTGCTTGAGTCAGCTATGAGTTGGTTAAGACTCAATGGCCCATAACAAACATCATTCCCATTTTGATATGAAAGCTTACAGCATTAATTCTATAGTCCTTTATGTTAGTCATACAGTAATCTATTTCATAAAAAAAGAGTTCCAAATATTTTTAAAAAGATATTTAAAAAAAAAGCAAACCAAACTCCTTGCCACCCAGTCAATTCTGACTCATAGCAGCCCTTATTAGACAAAGTACTATGGTCTCATAGGGTTTTCAGGGCTGGAATTTTTTTTTTTTTTCATTCCAATGAACATCTAAAGAGATTTTGGAATTCCATTCATTCATTCTTGCACTTTTCTCCCCGCCCCCCCCACCCCCACCCCCAGTTCACTTCTCTCCTTGAAAAGCAAAAGAAAAACTCCTTCATTGGTACACAATATGCCCCCCCCCAATCAGGGCTGGAATCTTTATGAAATTAGACTAGCTCATGTTTTTCCAGTGTAGCAGCTGATGAGTGTAAGCCATCAGGTTGTTGGCAGCTGTGCACTTTAACCATTGGCAGCCAGGTCTCCTAAACAAAGCTACAATGTTCTTCAAACCTCCAAATTCAAACCCAGTCTTTCAAATTTTGCTTGATGATACATTTTTCAAATCTCCACTTAATTCTGCTCATTTTCCTGTAGGCTTGCTCCTAGTTATCATGAACTAAAAAAACCCCTCACCGTGAGGAGTCGATTCTAACATAACCCTTCGCCGGGTTCCCAAGGCCGTAAGTCACCCCTGGAGGAGATCTTTCCCCTTTGGGGTCACTGGTAGATTCCAGCCACCAGTCAGGTGAACCGGCAGAACTCACGATCCACTGTCCATCTTTAAATATGGTGCTCAGTATCTGACTAAATATTCCAGGGCACAGGATAAGAAAATTCTGACTTCCCCTTTATACAGGGCTCTGTGTGAGTTAAGCATACTCTTTGCCAAGAAAAAATAAATTTGCTTCTTACCTTTTAAAAAGTTGGAGACATCTTCTAATTGGGGAATATTATCTTCCCGATATCCACAATATTTGGAAAGCAAAGGTAAGTTTTTGAGGTACTCTCTACAAGCATGAGTTGGGTAGAGTTTGTTGAGCTCTTGGAACACAGTTCCCCAGGTCTTAATCTCCTCTTCTGTGAATTCCACTTTAGGAATTGGGTCCCCACTAATGGGATAAAGGGAAGGAGTTATTGTAAATTAGCATTAAATATACAGTAACGTTGATCTTTTTATTCTGTTTACTGAAAAGGCATAATTTACTTGTTGATTCCATTGCCTCCAAGTTGAGTAAATGGTTTTTATAAGACTTACTGTTTGTAATTTAGAGCCAAGTCTGCAAAATATTTTCGCCTTTTACGATAGACATTGTCTTTGAAGCCCTGAAAATGAAAGATAGTTTTTAAATATGCATATTTCAAAATATTTGGAAAATACTATATAGGGAACATTTCATTAATAGTTGAGTTTATTAAAAGGCTACAAAATTGCTACTATGGACACTGTTTAGAGCTTTATTATTTGTTTTGTTCTAAAGTCAAGATAGTGTCCACAGAGATAACTTTGAAGAAAGGAATATCCCCTAGTTAAATAGGTGATTCTTTTCCACAGATGGGTTTGTTGTTTCTTAATCATTCAATTCCTCATTTTCAGTTACAATTTCCTATGATTAATATAATTGAAGCAGTTATCTAACTTAGATTTTATCATAAAATGCAAACTATTTCATTATTTACAGAAGGTAAACAATGATAATAAAAAGTAAATTAGCAACTTCAGAAATGCCTATCTAGGAAAAACATTTGAAAAAAGTAGATAAGGAGTTTAAAAAAACAAAATCAACCAATGGTGCAAATTAATAAAGAGAAAGGAAGGATGAAGGGGAGCAGGAGCCGCTTCCCTTTAACACAGATTTATGTACCACCATCTAAGGAATCCTGGTGGTGCACTGGTCAAGCATTGACTGCTAACTCAAAGTTTGGTGGTTTGAGCCCCCTCAGCGGCTCTTCAGGAGAAAAGACATGGTGATCAGCTCAACTAAAGATTGCTGCTGCTGTTGTGTTACATGCTGTGGAGGCAGAACTGACTCATAGCTGGCCCTCCAGCAGGTTCTGAGAGGCTACAAATCTCACGAAAGAGATCACCCGTCTTTCTCCTGCTGTTAGCTAGAGGAGCCAATCTAGCACTCCCTCTATTAAAGATTGTTGATGTTATTGGAGTTACATACCATTGAGTCAAAACTGGCCCATAGCTGACCCTCCAGTGAGTGTTCAGAGGCAACAAATCACACAGGAGGAGACTGCTCATCTTTCTCCTAAGGAGCAGCTGGTAGACTCAAACTGCATGCCTTTGGGAAGGCAGCATAGCCTGGGAAATCCTGTGGAACAGATCTGCTCTGACACACCAGTGTTACGTAGGGTTATCAATGGCTAACTTTTTAGAAATGGATCACCAGACTTTTCTTCCAACACATCTCCAGGTAGGCCTGAACCTCAAAACTTTTAGCCAGCAGCCCAAGTGCATTAATTTTTTTGCATCATCCAGGGACTCCCTCAGCACCTAGAACTTAGTCATCTACTTTCTGATTCTATGGATTTACCTATTCTGGACATTTCATATCAAAGAAATCATGTACTATGTGAGCTTTGGTGACTGGCTTCTTTCATTTATAATATGTTCAAAATTCATTCACGTTTTAGCATGGATCAGTACTTTAACTTTTAATACCCACCTAACACACCATTGTATAGATACACATATACCACATTTTATTTTTCCATTTGTAAGTTGACAGCCACCTGGATTGTTTCTACTTTTTGGCTGCAATGAATAAGGCTGATATGCATATTTATGCAAGTTTGTATGTGGACGTATGCTTTTAGTTCTCTTAGGCATTTACTTATCTTCTTCTACATCTTGGGTTCTATTCCACCTAAGAATGGAACCACTGGTTGCTTTTAGACAGAGGAGGAATATGGTCATATTGGGATTTTACATCATCTCATACCTTGTTTACTTTGAGCATGTTATCAAGAGGGATCAGTCATGCTTCTCAAAGCGGGGAGTCATAGAAAAAGAGGAAGACAGACAATGAGATAGCCTGACAGTGGCTGAAACAATGGGTGAGGATGACTCAGGGCTAAGCACCAGTTCATCCAACGTTGCATTTTATTCATCATACAGACAGTGGCTGTGAGTCAGAGCCAACTCAACAGGATATAGCCTGGCTCATAGGGCCTATGAGGAGGTGGCAAGAATGGAGGCAGACTGATCCGTTAAATAATGTGGTTGTTGTTGCTGTTGTTGTTGTGTACCATCGAGCTGGAATAAACCCAGAGCTGACCCTCCCACGGGTTTTCAGAGGCAGTAAACTGCATAGAAAGTGCCAATTTTTCTCCCAGAGAGCAGCTAGAGGACCTTGAATCGTGTACCTTTGCATTGGCAGTGCAATTCCTTACGACTAAGCCACCAAGCTGCAAAGATAAAGAACAATTTTAATAAATACTTAGGAGGTGAAAATCAGCAAAACTTGATAGTTGATCAGTAACATGGATTTGCTTGTCTTTCCATAAACATGCCCAGGTTTCCCTGCCTCGGAGCCTTTGTTCATATCATCCTCTCCTGAAGCATCCTTCCTTTCTCTTACCTTCCCAAATCCTGGGAGGCTCAGTTAAAATGTCACTTTTCTTTGTATTTTTTCAGCTGAATGTGATTCCTTCCTTGTGTATATTCCAAAGCAGCTTCTTCATGCCACTGACCACCCTGGCTACATTTTTATCTTGTATATGTATATTTATATGTGTGTCTTATCTTTTTGAAGGATTACTGGAGACATAGTATATAGTGTGTTGCACTGCTGAGCAAAAAGGGTGGCTACTCTTCTGGTTACTGCTCCAGAGGAGAAAGATGGATAGTCTCCTCCCATTAAGATTTACAGCCTCAGAAGCCTGGTTGAGAATCGCTGCGAGTCATAACCAACCAGTGGCAGTAGGTGGCTATCTATTCATCTAGGCTGTCAGCACCTTAAGAAACCCTGGTGGTCTGGTGGTCTAGTGGGTAGAGAGTTGCACTACCACCCCAAAGGCGAGTAGTTCTAATTCACCAGTTACTCCATGGGAGAAAGATGGGCAATCTTCTCTCATGTGATTTTCAGCTATGAGTTGGTTCTGACTTGATGGGAATGAATTGAGTTGCCAGGACACTGAGGGCAGGTTCAGTAATTAACCAAACCTAATGGTTACTCAAAAATACATCATCGAATAAATGGATGGAATGGCAGATGGTTATTGAAGGTGCTATAGGTCACACTCATACAGATAATAAAGAGTAAAAACTAGAATAAAGCATGGTCTGCGAGCTTCCACAGTTGCCCTTTCTCCCCTCCAAGCAGCCTGGAACTCTGTCAGCAGTCCTACCACTCTGGATTTACTTCTCTAACTAAAATATGCTTAGACTGTATCCCGTGTACTGTTCCAAGAAAGCAGCTCCCTATTCATCTGATAAGCTCATCACATGGGACAGCATGGGTAATAAAAAGCTTTCTCCATCCTATGTTTCTTCTTCTTTCCAATAACTTATTATCAAAAATAATATGCTATTCTTATAATCAAATTAATATTAAGATATTATATACTTAATTTTAATATGACTGCAAACACTGTCTTCATTTTAGTATAACTTTTTAATTCATTTTAGTATAATTCTTAAAGTATCTACCAATAATAGGAATGTCAGGCATGAGACAGATGTTTTAGAGTAAATGAAGTTAGATAACTCTACAGGCAGCCAAGTGCCATTGAGTCAATCAGTTATTTTCAATTCCACTAAATAAAGTCCATTAGATGTTGCTAGGAGAGGCTATTCTTTGGAAAGGGACATCATGCTTGGAAAGAAAGAGGGTCAGCAAAAGAGACAGACTCTCAATGAGATAACAGGTTCAAGCGTATGAAGAGTGTATGAAGATGGTACAGGATAGGACATATTTTAGATCTGTTGTTATTAGAGTTACTCTGAGTCATACTCAACTCAACAGCATTTAACAACAAACTTTCCTGAAGGCGCTCTGGTGGCTTAGTGGTAAGGAATTGTGCTACCAAAACTAAAAGGTTCTTGGTTCGAACTTAGCAACTGCTCCATAGGAGAAAGATGGGCAATCTCCTGTGTGATTTACTGCTTCTGAAAACCTAATGGAGGGTCAGCTAAAGGGCAACTAAAAAACCTTGATGGTGCACAACCACAAAGCAACTTCCTGATGAAGGAAGCTCCCCTGATGAAGAGCTCTGGTGGCCTAGTCTATAGGGAGTTGTATTGCTAATCCAAAGGCCACACCTCTCTGGCAGTTCAAATCCAGCAGCAATCTTTGGGAGAAAGATGGACAATCTCCTGATGTGTGATTTATAGCCTTGGAAGGCTGGAGACTCAGCTTTGAGTTGATTCCAATTCAACAGCAATTAATTTGATTTGTCTGTAAGCTTCCCAAAATCAGGATTAGGACAAGATTCTATCTAGTCTAGAGTTAGCATTATCTAAAAAATAAGTTGTCCTTTAATTTTTAGTTCCGCTTTAAATTCTTTTCATGAATTTATTAGAAATGTTTTTTTCTTAAAAAAGGAAATACTTACAGGATGGTCTGCGTCTAGTTCAGATCCATACATCAGAACTCTGTTCGCACAATGATCCAGGTCTGAAATCTTCTTTGGAAACCATGGAATAGTTTCTATGCCTGTAAAAATACAAAAACCACCAAAAAAGCTGAAGAGATGCTCTTAAGTAATACAATAAAAATTATTAACAAATGCATAAGTATTTGGTTGAGATTTCTTGAGTCCGGTTGATTTTCAAAGTGTTGGTGAAATGTTATAGTTTCATATCAGAAAAAAAGTACACACTCCCAAATTTTTAAATAACACATTTAATTGGTCTAAGTTTAAAAAGACAAACAAAAAACCCAACCTCACACTGAGGGCCATTAAGTCATATCTAATCCTAACTGACTTTCCATTGAGTTTCTGAGACTAAATTTTATGGGATGATATTGCCCCTCCTTCTCCTGGCATGCTCTTGGGGGATTTAACCTACGAGAGAGGCATGACCTTTGAGTCAGCAGAGCAACTCCTTATAGGCTACATCACCAGAGCTCCTTATTCTAAAATATTCTAAAAGTTGATTCTAAAAGGTTGACTAAAAATATATAATTCTATTTACAGTCTAAAATCTAATACAAGTGTTGAATGTTTATCTTTGTTGTTAAAAGGGATCTTAGAGGTCATTTATATCTCTGCACATTGGTCTTCTCACCATTCCTCAGACATACATACCACTCTGTGAAGACTAGATTTTTTTTACATGCTGTAGGCACTAGGTTTGGACTCGACTCCTAGCTTAAAGGTTGGAAGTTTGAGCTCACCCAGCCATGCCATGGAGAAAGGCCTGGCTGTTTCCATAAATACTGCAGCCAACAAAATCCTAACGGACCTTTATACTCTGTAACATCATGAGTCAGGATAGACTCAAAGGACACAAGTTTGAGTTTAGATTTTTTTTTCTTTTGTCTAGTTTGGTTCTTCTGTCTGGATAAATCATTCCTGCCCCACTTAGTCTTCTGTTTTCCTGAAAGTATCTTCTACAACTCAAACCAAACAAGACCTTCCTGAACCTTTAGGTGAGCTGATTCTCTGTCTTCTGAGTTTCTAAGACACTATGCTTCTAACTCTCAGAGGGCTTTTACTGTCTTTCAGTACAATATATGTACATATATTTTTGTCAGACTTGAAACTACAGCAAGAACTATATGTATTTTTATTTCATAACAGAAATATCTGACATAAGTTTGTTTACCCTAAATATCAGCTTGAACTATCTAGCTAAACTTCTTATTTTATAGATGAGGAACCCCAAATCTGCATAAAATAATTAACCCAAAGTAATTACTTTTTAATGGAAGGGAGAGGGCTAGAACCCAATTGTCATGTTCAATCTAACATTCTCTCTCATTTACCCAAAAGCAACATTCAAGGGACTTAACAACAAATGCAACAAGGGCGCCAAGCACTCAAAATAGAGACAAGCAGAAGATATAGGCTCCTGCACTCCTGCTCTACAGGATGTTAGCCCTTTGCTTGCATATTGTGGGTATGGGGTTCATAGAGGAGAGCCTGACATAATGGTAGTTGGGGCAGCTTCAAGTATGCTGGGGAGATGAAATAGAAGTATGCCAGTATTTTAACAACTTGCACAACAACTACAGGAATGCATAACAGATGAATATCATTACAGGCATGGTAATATAATCTGAAGGAACTATTTCAAATTGAGCATCATATAGAAATCACAGCTGGTCCTCTGCTTTTTTGCCTCCAAGAAAATTACAAAAATGTTTCCTTTTCACAAAGGGCAGATCTTAGCTTATATCTTTGTGGTGGAATCTCTGAAAACGTAAGCTTTACTATTTTCTGTTTGCTTTTGAAGGGGGACAGAGAGGAACACTTAGTGTATTTCACTTGGCACTTGTCAGCAACTGACAACATTCTCAACAAAGTCAAATACTCAATATTTTATTTACTTTGTAGCCTCGTGGCAAGAAGCTGCACTGCAACCCAGAAGACATGCAGTGTGAGGCCACCAGCTGCTCCTTGGGAAAGGATGGGCCATCTCCTCCCATGCGATTAACTGTCTCCGAAAACGTGCCAGAGGATCAGCTATGGGAAGGTTCAGATTCTACAGTACACAACAACAGCACATTTTCTAGGTCCAAATAGCAATATTTAGGTATGATAAACTTGTTAAGAGGTTCTAAGTGTTTATTGTTGCTGTTAGGTGCCCTTTGCCCAGCTCTCCAAGTCACAGCAACCCTGTCTGTGTACAATAGAAGGAAACCTTGCCTGATTCTGCACCATCTTTACAATCTCTTTTATTCTTAATTCCACTGTTGCAGGCACTGTGTCGATCGACGCGCCTCCTTGAGGGTCTTCCTCTCCTTCACTGACTTTCCGCCTTTCCATGCTGATGTCTTCTTTGCAAGTCTGGCCCTTTTTGATAACATGCCCTGAGTACGTAAGACAGAGTCTCAATACCTTTGCTTCTAAGGAGCAGCCTGGCTTCACTTCCTCCAAGATTGATTTGTTTGTCCTTTTGTTAGTCCAGGGTGTATTTCATATTCTTCATTCAGGAATTATAAAATAGAGATTTTGTAAAATGAAGAAATGGATGACAATTTGGAAATGGATAAATAACTTAATTGATTGCTGATTATTCTCATTTTTATTATACTAAAAGTTTCTTTCTCATCCCTCCTACACTAGACCAATTGTTGCTTTATAGTTTTTCTTCAAGATATTGAGCAATTATATTTGTGTTTCCTTCACTAACAGATTATATGTAAGGAAAGGTGCTTTTACTTTTGTACCTTCAACATAAATTGAAAATTGGATACATAATAGGTTTATAATCTTTCCTTCTGAAGGTTTTCAATCCTATGAGTACTACTTTCACTTTTAAACTTACCATCTTCCTTCCCAGTAAAATTATCTGATGGATTCACGGAGAGAATGTTAGTATGAGATTTCAACAGGTGAAAAATATCATTTAATTGCTCTCTATTGATATCACAGTCAACAAAAATCTCAAATTCTGAGTTTCTTCTCTTTGATTTTCGTGACTCAATATGTAACAGGTTCACATGCTTCTCCTGTTTAAAGCAGAGAATGAAGATTGCATGTTACATCATCAAATGCTAATAGTCATTGAATAGATTGATATCAAAACTGTTAAAAATTGATTTCACAGTGGAACAACCAGAACAGAAATCATGAGAATGTTTGCACATTGAGAAGACTATAACCAATGTCACTAACAGCTTGTGCAACAATTGTTGAGTGCAAAACTAATCTGCTGTGTAAACCTTTAATAAAAACAATAATATGCAATTTCTTTCACATTTGTCATAATAGTGAAAAGGGGGATGAAAAAAATGGCTATTTTTAGCATAGCTAACAACAAAATGGAAGAGTCTTGGACATACCATGAACCACCAAGAAAGCAAATAGGTCTGTCTTGGAGAGGGTGAAACAGAGTTTCTCCTTGGAGGCTAGGATTTTGAAGCTTCATCTCACATACTTTGGGCACATGGCAAGGAGGGATCAGTTATTGGAGAAAGACATCATGCTTGGAGGGGTAGAGGGGCAGCACAGGAGAGGAAGACCCTGGATGAGACGGATTGATACAGTAACTGGGGCAGTGGGAGGAGGTGTGTTGAAGTCAATGAGACTGGCTCAGGACAGAGCAGGCTTCAGAGCTGTTGTACATAGGGGTCGCTATGGGTCACAGGAGACTCAACAGCACATAACAACAACAACAACGAAATATTCAACAAAAATAACTCAATGCCATAGAGTTGGAAATTACTCATAATTGACTCTCCAGCGGTTTTCAGAGGCAGTAAATCACATGGAGGAGATTGCCCATCTTTCTCCCACAGAGCAGCAGATAGATTTGAGCCATGTGACTTTGAGCTGGCAGTACAGCTCCTTACCACTGAGAACCTATCACCTAACTTTTTTAAAAAAATATTAAGAATGGGAAAGTTAGGGTGGATAAGAATGATCACTGAGCCAAGAAAGGAGGAGAGAAAAAAAAGAAACGAGGATGAGTGTAAAGGGATGGTGGTAAGTCAAGGTAGAGACTATCCCAGAACAGAAACTTCATCATGGAATCAAGAAAAGACTAATTATAAAATATATTTTTAAAATGAGAATAATAAAAACTTCCATCTATTTCTTATTCATTTTTATAAGAATTAATTTCTAACTCTGCTGAATCTGACTCATGGTAACCCTCTATCAAGTTTTTGAGGCTATAAATCTCTATGGGAGGAGACTGCCTATCTTTCTCTCAAGGAAGAGCTGATGGATTTGAACCACTGATCTTTCAGTTATCAGCTTAGCATGCTGGCACTATAACAGGGTTCAAACAGATTCAAACAGTAATAGGAATATTAATACATAAAGTTTCTATTAAATAGCAAAAACATGTCCAACAACTAGAAAATATAGGAATTTATAGGACACAAAAACAATTCTGCCAAAGATGTAATTGGCTTAAATAAATATGGAGCTATGTTTTGTCAGTTCTTCCTAAATTGAGTGCTATAAAAATGAGAGATATCAAAACAACTATGAAATATTATCTCACCCCAGTCAGAATAGCAAAATTTACCAGAACAGCAAACAACAAATGCTGGCAAGGTTGTGGAGAAATTGGAACCCTAATTCACTGTTGGTGAAAGTGTAAAATGGTGCAACCACTGTGGAAGGCGGTATGGCAGTTTCTCAAAAAGTTGGAAATATTTGGGGGTAGGGGATGGGGTTTGGGGAGGTGCGGGGGGATTTTGTACCAATG